TACTACTACTACTACTACTACTACTACTACTACTACTACTACTACTACTACTACTACTACTACTACTACTACTACTACTACTACAATAATAACAAAAAACAAAAACAACAACTACTACACCTCCTCCCCCTCCTCATACTACTACTTCTAAAACTAGGAAGGGAAGACGTAGCGTAGAGGCCACTAAGCGTCTAAGGGATGAGCCGTCGGCTGAATTCGTCTGCGCGTTCTAGGCTGTGCCAAGAAACGTTGAGTGGAAACATCGCATTTTGTTTCAATTTTTAACAATAATTTTTGATATGTTTAACTCTTGTGGTGCTAACTCTAAATACACTGCCACATTCAGACATGCCATCTCCCCAACATCTTCACATATCAAATTCCTAAATGACACCTTTGTGGGGTTGAAAACACTGCAGTATGGAACCTCAAAATGGTTAGCACATGTTCATCTTCCCTACATCAGAGGTTGTATAGGCAATATTAATTTTTTCCTGGCATAAGCAAATGATTTGACAAACACAGTTGTCAGTGTCAAATATATATTGACAAGTCGCCTCAATCAAGATTGCGTGAAAATCTGTTTTCCGTCATCCCAGGGGAAAATGGCCAGATGTCAAATCCTGACCCTCAACAATTCAGATTTACTTTATGGCAGGTCATGGTTGACAAACTTCTACTGACAAGAGAAGGCAGCAGTTGTTCTGATGACCTAGACAGTTTCCTCATCAACTTCTCGACAACGAACAGTACCAACCAATCCTTGACCCTTCCAGATTCTATACCATTGCCAAATGAAATGAAGCAAGCAGCCAGCATTGTAAGATCATGCGAAATGGACCATGTCATATAATTGGAAAAGATTGTATCTTACATAAGTGGGTTCACTGTATGAATACTTTAAAAGTTTTTGTGCTTTGCTCGTTTGGATTTAGTTCAAGACCAGACATCACCAGCTGAAAGACACCACCAGCTGATTGAATAAAAACAGTTAAGTAATTGTTGAAATGATGGTTTGAAAAAACCTACTGAAAAATTAATCGCTTTAGTGAGAACATTTTAGATGATTTTCCAAGCCTGGTTTTGGAAAGTTGTTGGGAGCAGACAAATACAGGAATTATTGAAGCAGAAAATGTGGTCTGATCCTACAGCGGCCCAATTGACACTAAATGACAGTGGCTGTTGTGAAATGGACAGTCAAGTTTCTGACTGTAAGGATTCACCATGAGGTGAAGGTCCGAAATGAGGAAAGAAGCAAGGCACGCAAAACAAAGAGAAAGCTGAAAACTGACAACCATCTACAGGTAAGTTCGCACACATCTCCTAGATCTAGTTGTTATAGAATCTAGTTATAAATAATAGTGTTCCTAATCTCGTAATACTTGCATTTTAGGAGGACAGACCTCAGAGATACATAATGTCTAGAATCTAGATGCTCGTTCCTCAAAGCGTTTATTTATTCATTTATCTATATTAAATATATTTGTTTATCTTTGTTTTAATGAGCACGCTCTAGATGTAGAATCTAGACATCTATTTACAAATACAGTATTTGTTTATTTAGGAATTATAAAAAAGCACGTTGATCAGCTGTTCGTGGATGCATATACATTGTAATTATGATAGGCGAATACTGGGTTTGCTTGCTGGCGTGCCTCGCGTAACGCGCAGACGACTTGGCGAACTGACTCGACCCCGCGGACAAGGGTATAGAGAGGCTTAGGCCGGTCCCAGAGTGGCTCTGTATGTCTGACCTGTAGCTCGCCTGGCTCGCACCGTGCAAATGAATGTATACATTATCGTGTGCTTAAGCAGCGTCGCTGTGTCGTCTGTTTTTTGTTAGCTGAGCTGCGCGATGCGTCAGACGTGCTATTCAACAGTGTTGTAAAAATGGCGGACATGTGTCGCCTCGCTTCGTGTTTATTTTCGACTAAAACTCTTCACAGATCATCAAAATCAACAAGAAGTAAGTTTTATTAAGTGCTGTGCTATTAAATATTGA